CATTATTAGAGTAAAAGATCTAAAAAGGAACCTTATCTCATTTTACCTGTGGAATTTCCGTGGACCGTTTTATGGCTTCTTCACAGTTTGTGTTGATTGTATTTTTATATATTTACATTTCCAATGTCTTTGTTCTAGATAAAATTACCAATTGTAAATGTAATTTATTTCCTCATGAATGTTTTGGCGCGGTTCCAAAAAAAAAAAAAAACACGTGCAGGGCGGGACAACACCTAGAGAGAAGCAGGCTTGGAGCCCGTCGGAATCAAAGCATGTAAATATAAGGAATAACTGTCTTATTTTTCGAATTCATGAAGATGATCAATGGACTTTATGCAAATTATCACACAAGCCAATCCATTGATCACTTCATGAATTCGAAAAATAAGACAGTTATTCCTTAAATCTCTACACGTCAGTTAACTTTTGACTCAATGATAAACTGTGTTTGCTGACAAGGTCATGGTATCGACCAAAGAACTTAAAATGATGACTTTAAAAGAGACTGCAGATATTCTTGTTTCATCAACTTATCTGTCAATAACTCACCTCGTTTTAGAAAATGTTCATAAGTAGAGCATGCTCTTGCGTATCGAATCAACTAAGATATAAAAACACGTATGCAGGTGATGAAAGTATACTAGTATTGTTGCATAAGTAAGGGAAGATGACGATAGAAAAGTTAAAGTCATCAAGTTTATCATAGAGCTTAGTTGTTAGATTATTATTAACGTCTTTTTCAAGTAAACTATCCAAGTACGAAGCAGATGTGTCAGAGTCTGTGGTATCTTTTATCTCAAACTCCCCAGGATATATCGTATCGACATAGGAATGGAAATTACCATTGTTAATTGACAATACGTCGCCGATATATCTAAATGTTGAGTTGAAGGCCACAGCAAGTGATCTCTTCTTTTCACGCATTAGATTTTGCACAAATTCTGCTTCAAATGAATACAAAATAGGTCTGATAACAATTGGGCGCAATTGGTACCCATGGGAATTCCAATCGATTGTTAGAAGACCTGGTCACCAAAAAACACATAGATATTGTTAATCAGACACTCGACCATCTTTATCATGTCAAGTTAAGAGTACTTATGTGTACAATAACAAATGTGTTTTAACAAAATAATTTTGCAAATGACCAATGACCAGGTAAGTATATTTACAAGTTCCCTTTTTATTGAAAAAACAGCTGTCAATGATATCAAAAAGCCTAGACTTTAATTTATCGTGTGGAATGGTTGTGTATAAAGTTGAAAAGTCGTAAGTTTTCAAGCTGTAGATTTTGGTAAACAACAATATTAAGTATTAGACAAGCTACTGATAAACAAGTTGATGAAACAGACCTATCAATAGTCACGTTTAAAGTCATCATTTCGCAATTTTTTTTAATAGATACAATGATCTTCTTGTCAAATACTACATATCATCAAGCCAAATGCCGAGGGACGTATTGCATACAGATTGTTAGGGAATTATTCACACACTTGAATTGTCTATAGATTTTTCTCAATTATAAGTCAGGGTAGATAATTCAGCTGTGGCCGGTTAGCTGGGGTGTTATGTCCTCCATGGCACCTGACCATACCTCTGATGTTTTGAAGGACTGTGTTTCCCTGCTCTCTGTTTATTTTGTTAAAGGAGAATTTAAGCTGGAATACTGTTTATATTTGAAAGGTTATGAAGCAATAGAAAAACGTTTGCAAGACTTTTTTTTCTTGAATGCACTTTGCTAAATCATAAAAAAAACCTTAGTATATACATGTAATTTCAAAAGCCAAGTATTCATGCAATTTTCTTAATTTATCAAAATCATAAAACGCATTGTAACTTATACCCCATTCATCACCTTATGCAAATTTACATAAATTTTAAGTAAAAGTTAATTTGCAATGCGTTCAGACGAGATTTATGTGCTGTAAGTAAATCCTCTCATATTCATATAAACTAAGGAGATGGACAGATTCAGAATTGTGATTTTTTATAGAGTAAAGGGTATTTCCTTACTATTTGGGTATAAGACTAACTTTTGAATCTTCCTCCAAGTAACTGGGGGGAGGGGGGGGGGGTCCGTTCAACTGATTTCTTGGTACAACTTAACTAATTAATGACTTTAAGGAGAAAGAATGGTATAAGAATTTACACACGAAGAAGGAAAACTCATTAAAATTATCAATATGAGCTGCAAGATTGACATGGGAAAACTTTGTTGCAAATTTGTAATAAACTTTTTCAATGATAGAAAAATAGAACATTTAACATTTATAAACTACAGTTGTTTATATTTACGATGGAAGAACTTTTTATAAGCTTTAATTGAAGCAATATGACATTATTGTCGTCCTGTGCATTATTGATTTCTTATATAATGATATATATATTCGACTGTACAGAAACATTTCTTCTGAAATATTTTAAAACTTTTATTTTGGGTTATCATAAGGGTTTAAATTATATACAAATTAATCAGAATAACACATTTTAATAGCAAAATATTTTTCTCAAAAACACAGCTCATATATTGCTTTATTGTTAGAAAATGTTTTGGCTTCCGTCCCAAAGATTGAAGAAGAGCCACTGGGTGTGAAGAAAACGGGACTTGTCATCTACTAGTTGACGTCTTCGGCAGAAATAGGACCATTTAAAAATTTGTTTGCTGTTGGGAAATCTACAGTACATCAAGTGTTCGAGGCTGTTATTAAACATCTGCTTGAATATTATATAATAAGTATTTTTTCGGTATAATGAAAAGGATGAAAAAATCTAACAGTGATCGATCTGGAATATCTTTGAACAGTACAAATATGTTAAAAGGAAAATCGAAATTAACATGAACCCCTGGACATTCATGATGAGATCAGGTGCCAAGTAGGTTACTTACGAATGCTTATTTTCACTAGTTAATTGAAATTCTTGAAACATAAACTTTTATATGAGTAGCTTGCCTGAATTAAATACAGAGGAGTAAAAGAAAGTCATCAAGAGCTACACGGTAATGGGGCATGAGGGATTGATGGAATGCATGTTCCTATCATTGCTCCGGAACATTCCCAAGAAGAAAACTTGAATAGTAAGCTAGGACACTACTTATCGATCCTACAGGGCACTTGTTTGCGACCACAGCTATATCTTTAGAGACATATGCATAGGTTTGCCGGAAAAGGTGCAAGATGCCCTCGTTTTTGCAAACTCGAAAATTTATCTCGGAGGGGATAATGGTTCCTTGTTTAATAGATTTGCTTTCTAGCCACCAAGTCGCCCGCATAGCGCAGTGGTTAAAGCGTCTGCTATAGTGTCGCGAAGGAGTTGATCCTTACGTCGCGGGTTCGAATCCTATTGTTGGACGTGGAGATCGGTCCTTCGGATGAGACTATATGTAAACCGAAGTCCGGTGTCGCAGTAGGTGCTGGCATGAAAAAAACCTCTCCCTGCTCAATGGCCCTGAGTGCCGAGTATAGACACTGGCAAGTGATGAGTGAAAAATTCTTGAGAGGGACGCCAAACAATATACAATTAATCTAGCCACCATGTTTACAGACTGATATTTTACACGCCAATGCATACACAATCGAAACAACACTTAAAATGGACATTTATAAAATAAACCAAAACAAAATACATACAAAAGTAAATTTGCTGCGTGTTTATACGACACAATTTACACACATGATATAATTTGCTACAAAGTGTATAAAAGTAATCATTGCACAGTGTGACTAGGTGTAAATTTCATGTAGAATTTACAAAATATCAGTTCATGCGACAAAAATTGCACATGAGAGTAAATTAACTCATGTGTAAAATATACTGAGGTATGCAAATCATGTCGTATGAATGGGGTATTAGTCACAATCATCACCTTAAATAAAAATCTAAAAAAGAATTGTACGTGTGGCACATTTCTTAGCTTCATTAGATTCCTTATGAGGTGAATATCTCCGTAGGTCTTTGAATCTCTTTTGATCGTTGACTTTCATTTTCCTTTTAAAATTTTTTATAGCGTTTGATTTTTTCCCCTATTTTCAATGCATTAAATTGCAATCATAAAGAAAAGGTTCTGTAGATCTTCCCATTTATTCACAAAGTTAAAATCACTATTCCGACAACAAAAGGTACTAACTGTGTACAGTAAGAAAACAAACAGACGAGCATATCTCTAACATTCAATACGACTAGATAATATTATACCTGAAGTTGTTAACACTACTATTTACTGATTTTTATTTTGAAAATTAAAATAAGTACACGACTATATTTTAGTTTTCAAATTTAATAAAACCTGTTTACAAATGACAATAGAGCTCATATTTGTATGCACATACAGTGTACCGGTACTCTTGTCTTAAATGTAATTGCAAGTTTAATATCAATATTGTCCCCCAGTATATAAAACTTAGTGTTATGATTACGATTCCAATTAATAAAAGCTTTTCGATGATTAAGCTACGTCGCTAGAGTGTTTTGCAGTATTTGGCTTCATCATTTTTAAGACCTAGACAGCGATCCGTAATATAAGTTATCACATTGCAATGACTGCAGCAGACCATTTCATGTCATAAAGTGTGGACAATTAAACGCATCACCCCTGGCTTTGCAGGTGCGATATTGTGTGTGCTCTGGGAATAATAAAACGGACAATTTTAATGTTCTAATATTTTAAAGATGAAATAAGATACTCCGGCTGAAATCACGCCTGGTCAGGAGTGTTGAATTTGATTATTAATTCATCAATTGTCTCCTGAGTATGAACAGTATTGACATAGCTTTCCGTCTGATTTTATTTCTACTTAAAAGCCGAGGGGAGATGTCGGTCCCCCACGTACACAATTATCACGCTTTCCGATACAACTCTGCAAAACAAATGCATGCCGTCATCGCTACTTTCCAATAGGGAAAAGGCGGTAAGGTGACGTCACAAAGTCCACGCCTCCTTTATTATTGACATTTCTTTTCTTTACGCGCTAGGCATAAATAGAGATAAATAATTCTCTAATTGCAGTGTTACGAGAGAAATATTTTGAAAAAGGAGACAAGCGACTGTCATCACATACGAGCAGAGAAATCAGTGAAACAGCGACAGGGGGATTCTAGCACCGAAGGTTGGTTTTACAACCCAACTTAGCTGTTGTTTTTCATATTAACTTAAGTAATTGAAAAAAAAGTTAAAGACAAAACAAAACAATCGTGAAGTTATGTTATAAAGAAACAGTAGCTCATTTAATATAACTCATCTAAATTTTGTTTGTAGCATAAGAATCTATTATATAACATTATGAAGTGCATTTAAACATATTTTACATGTATGACTTGTTGCATAGCCGTTTAAGTTCAAGTGGCTGCTTATTTCAAATGGCTGAGAATATAAACTTTGCCTTAAATAGAGAATATACACTGCAGAATGATTGTCACAGCAGAGTCCAACAAGAGTAAATATGGTAGGCTTATTTTATTTGAATAGTTCATATCAGAGGCAAATGAGCGTTTATTTCTTTAATTACGCTCCTCTTTCGCACTTCTATCATTGAGAGCTAATTTGCTCTGTGATAATGAAAATCGAAATAGCTGATAATCGACCTACTTAACTTTGTGAAACATTAAAATTATCAGCAATGTACAGAAAACATTTCTGAAATACGACATAGTGACTTTAAGCTTAATTTGCGTTGCAAAGCGTCATCAGATAACGACTTTCCTACCTTACGGTGTCTAAATCGCTTATTTGACTTTATAGCTACCATTTGTGGCTTCCGATTTTGCAGAATCCCCGTTTCTTGCTACAGTCTGATTAAACAAGTGACGGCTAATGACGAAATAGACTACACTATGTCTGTCTAGGATTTTTATTTTGGCATCTCGAATTACGAGCAGGATATGTGGAAAATCACTATAAAAATCACGTAGAAGGTTTATGATAAAAAAAAATCAGAATGTATCTTGGCTCAAACCATTTATTTAAAATATTATCTCATACTTGGGTTTTCTAAAAATATTTGTTTTTCGTTTTATGAAAGTATATTTTCTAGTTAACTTTGTCCTCTTTTCAGTGTTTCCCCTGTAGCATCAGGTGGGTATAGAACCTTCTTAAAACAGGTATAAGAAATTAAATTAAATAATAAAATACATGTACTAGGTTAGGATTTTTGTGCATTTTTAGCCGGGCTTATTGCTCAAAGAGCAATTGCCGGCTTATGGGATCCTGTTCAAGGCAGGATGTTGACCCCATAGTCGCCATTTTAAAGTTACGTGCAAAAATATAGTTCTTACTCTCAACCGCTTTTGAGATAATACAAACGCTAAATAAAGCAACAAAAATAAAACGTTTTATCTATATAAAATAAACATTAGTAGTAATGACTTTGAAAACTTCATAAGTCAAAGAACATAGTTCATTTGCGTAAGGATTTTTGATAATCAGTGTTACCGTAGTTCTCTACACATACGAGGTAAAGCAGAAGAGGGAACCAGACTGGCCTGTTTGTTTACATTCAGCTGCGGTACCAGATTAATTCTGATTCTGACAAAATCGGACCGTGGTATTAGGATTGAAAAACTCACTGTCAGTGTCTTATCATATATATTAATATAGTTTTAAAATAATTTTTTCATCAGAATATAAACGTGATTCATGTAAGAAATCCATTCTACTCTGTAAATGAGCCCGGCTCTCTGTACTTCTGAGTACTTTGATTCTCATTAGTAGTTTGGTCCTCACCTACTTACTCCTAAAGTTACTTTACTGATCAAAATGTCTATCATTCCCACGAAGTGGGGGTGAGTGGGTTAGTGCATTCATAACAGAAGTAATGTATTTTATCACCAGTCCATTATCGGGATAAGGAATAAAATTAATTCTAAAGGTTAGCACAGTGTATGAAAATGAAAAATAAGTGCCATACTTTTACAAATTTGACCTTTTTCATATTTTTAATATATAATTTTTTTTTCACTTTTGTACGGGGTTACTCCTGTTCCTCCCATCCCAGCATGCAGTTGGATCCCCTTTACATCCCAGCATGCAGTAGGAGCTCTAGATCTACTTCAGGCACCCCAAATCTTCACGCACTTCTCCGTACGATGACCTCACTTACCTTGCACATGCACAAAAACGCTTTTGCTTAATAATATTGTAGCAAATAAAAAGGACGTAGCATGCACGTTTTTCAAGAGAATGATATAAATTAATCTTTTCAGGCTTAACTCCAATATAAAAAGGACGTAGCATGCACGTTTTTCAAAAGAATGATATAAATTAATCTTTTCAGGCTTAACTCCAATGTCATGATTCAAAGATCATGTTTCAAAAACTGTTGAAAATCGTACAAGAAAATTGTTTTCATTTCTTATTGAACGATGATTATTGACAAAATATCTGCCCTCTGATGGAATACCAAATCAGAAGTTCCGTTACATTAAAGTCAGAAATTTCTTTGACTGATTTATGATGAAAAAAAAATCAACAAACAAAATATATATTAAACCTGGATTAAAGGTGTGTTAATTTGCTTTTTTTTTTTACAATATAAACAAAATTTAATATACATGTATTTTTGAAAAATTTTATATTGATATTAGCTAATGATATTAGAAAATCTGAAACACAGACACAGTCTGACATTTTCCTTTAGAATTAAACAATAGCAGCAATTGAAAGCCAACAACGTGTCTCGCTGACCGCAACAAATTGACATAGGGATGTAGGCTACACTACACGCAGTCTATAGTCGAACAATACTGTGAAAAATGAATAATTGATCATCAAAACAAATACCCCGACTGTAATAAACGGGAATCCACTGATTATCAGCGTTTACCTGATCTTCAATCAGAATTACATGCATTAATTATGAAGCAATTTTATAGGTCACTTAGAGGTCGATTCTAATTTATATCTTAAGGATAAATTCATAAAAGCACCAAATAAAATTTTAAACAGGACACTATGTTTAATGTAGTAATCTACTAGATTACGCGAGTTTCATAGTATTTTTAATACACTCTTGGAATAAAAAAAATATATTTCCTGAATGTATTTTTTGAATATAAATGTTTTGTCACGAATCCTAAAAGCTAGACTTATTGCACAAGCTGAATTTCAATTGTAATACAATAAACTTAGGCAATTATTGCTTCATATTGAGTAACTAGCCATAAATGTAATAAGGTTATGTACCAGAATTGCCCTAGGCATCAGTATACACTATTTTAAAGAGAGAGAGAGAGAGAGAGAGAGAGAGAGAGAGAGAGAGAGAGAGAGAGAGAGAGAGAGAGAGAGAGAGAGAGAGAGAGAGAGAGAGGATAATTCATAAATTCAGTCGTAATTTGTGTGTTCACGAAAATTTAGAATTACATCAGGACGATTAAGATACATTCCTTTTCGTTCTGGTCTTCTCAGGGGATTTTTTTTGTTTGACTGAAAGCAATATTAATTCTCCATAGTAGACATGTATTTCAAATTTATTTGTAAATTATTCTCGAATTATATGAAATGCTATTGATATTTTTCTGGCAATCCCTTCTTTTAATTTTCACTTAGGAATTCCTTAGGAAAAACTCTTCATTTCTCCTACTGTAACCACCAGAATTTTAAATTAATAGTTTCATTTGACATGAATCACTTTGTCACCTTATTGATTATTTGAGACGAATCCCGAATGTCTCACTTTCCCAAACTATACCAACAGCAGATTCTTATGACGAGTCCTCCCGAAAGACTAAACAGGAAAACTAAACTCACCCAAGCGCATGCGCATTTGCCATCTTTGATGTTTAATTTTTTTTAAGAAATCAAGACTCTGCTACTATTCTATTTTTAAATAAGGTAAAAAAATAATTGCTATATCAGTGGATACATATACTACTCTTTTTTAAAGCGATAAAAAAATAATAAATGGTTTCTTTGAATGTGTATAAAGTCTAAAAAGATTTATCTAACGTAAAACCCACCGATTGTTGATCTTGTAAAAATCAATTACGTTATTATTACTTTTTTTTTATTATTATTTTTTTTTTTTACATTTCTTTTTTAAAAAATAAATGATATTGAGTCGCCACCACTCGCTAGTGGAATGAAATTGAAAATTTAGATCTCTACTCGGCATTTAAGGCATTTGGGCAGTGTTTTTTTTTTTACCACAAAATGGGACTATGGTGTATTCGGTATCATTTGAAGGACCGGTTTCCATTCAACACAATGGATTCGAACCCACGAAGTAGGGATCAATTCCTAACTCTGCGCCACTTATTAATCAAACGCTCTTAGCATTGGGCCATACGGGCTACGTTGAATGGACTATACATGTACTTAGAAGCATATAACAGTACGACATTTAACTCTGGACACGTCATTGTCCAGACTTTTTACCGCCATATCTAATTAAGATGTCCGATAAAATGCTGGGAGTACCTGGTGGGCTTTCTTAGTAATATCACTTACTTTTATGTTGAACTTACAAACATACATTTTAATTTAAAAGATATGTTCTAAAAGAGTCTTCAAACTCAGAACCTTATTGGAGAATGGTGGGATTTTTAATCCTATCAACTATCCCACCTTTCTCCTATGGATGGGAGAAAAAAAATTTAGATGGGATTTTTTCTTCCATAAATATGTTCAGTTGGAATAATTTCCACGGATATTGACAATCATGCAAATATTTTCTCCCATACATTGTGAAACGTGGGCTAATTCTGATAAATTATGACAGTGACAGACCACTCATCGTAATCTATGGAATATATTCTACTTTAAAAAAGTATTAGAGAAAATGACTTGTTGTCAATATCCGTGGGATTTATCCCATTTGAACAATTTTGTGGTAGAAAAAATCCCACTGGGAGAAAATATTCCATCTGACACTTTTTCTCAAATGGGAGAAAGGTGGGATAGTTGATAAGACTAAAAAATACCACAATTCTCTCACGGAATTCTGACTTTTAGGACATCATTCTTTCGAAAAAGAAATGTTTGTGAGTTAAGCATGAGACCAGGGGATACTGCTAAGAAATGCCACCAAGTGATCTAAAAGTATTTTGGACATCACAATTAGAAATGGTACTTAAAAGTCTGGACAATGTTACATGTCGCGTCAAATAAAGATTT